CACACACACACACACACACACACACACACACACACACACACACACACACGCACGCACGCACGCACGCACACACACAAACACACACACACACACACAGATAAAGTAATTTATACGCGTGCTTATTATGAAAACACTTTGTGAAGTGGACGTGTTTTAATGAAGCCGAGGAAGTAATCAGGATGGACGTTTGCAGCAGACTCGTTTTCAGTCGGCCCGGTCCAAGATGGCCGCTACGGCTAATCCCAAAAATGACTTTGACTCAGTCTCTTTAATTAAGTATTGAGCAATTATTTAGTGGCTGAGATGGATTCATGTCTCATTTTCTAAGTGGTAACGGATTGTACCAGGTTGTGTGATATTACATGAGATGGTGAATAACGAGTAAAATTTCATCATTTTTCTACATAAAACGATCTTAGTTCATGACTCTGGCAGTGGTGATGTGGTTTCATTTCCTGATGAGAGGTCTTTCCTTTGTTTTACTAAAGGGTTAATGATGTTATTAAAGCAAACTGAACCTCATATTTAGAAGAAACTATCTTTTATATAGTGCCTCTCAAGATAAAAATCATGAGGCACTCCACAAGAACCAAATCAGACATTTTAAACATGATTTAAAACGTCAGAATAAAAAAGGAGAAAGGTAATCACGGGATCCTGAAAAAGTCAAATATTAGAGAGGATTTTGTGAGTTGAGTTTTATGGGAGACATTTGCTTTTGGCTGACCTTTGACCTGAGTTACTGTTGGTTTGACCCATCGACATATGAAAATATGGACATAGCCCGCTCATTGCTCCGCCGGGGGGCAAGCTGAAGTCAAAAATGGGAGGTTCCCAAAAATGTGAGGTTCCCACCGCTGATTTTTTTTAACCAAGTCACGCCCAGACAATCTAAAAATGGGAAAAGAGGTGGAGCTGAGGGTGGGGCTGTTACGTTTAGAACAGCGTTGGAACAAATGTAACCAATGTAGCTACTAGCTAACTTAGCTAACCCAAGAAGCTAAGAAGGGCTCCAGGGAGCGGGGTAGCCCGCTCGCACGAACCACTGGCTCCCGTGTGAGGCCGTAGTCATGCTGGTCACCTGTCTTCACCACAGACGGAGATCAGCGGTACATTAGCTACATGCTTATATGAAGCTAACGGAGTTTCCTGGGTGTTTTTAGCATTACCGCATTTTTCTTGCTAAAAATCCCCGTAAAAATCTTTGTTAACTTCGGGTTAGCATGTCGCTAATGTCCCGCTGATCTCCAACCGTGGAGAATTGTAGTATGTCCAAGGAAGGTCCCGTCTTTCTTATGTTTGATTATTATAGCGCTAAGTTCAGATTTTGTTTACAAAACTCCCAAAACAGACCAAGTGGTCAAATGACACAGCATTTCCCCATTCAACCAGCGAAATAAAGTGCAGAAATATAATTTTACTTACTGATAAAAAGACGCAGAAACTGCTTGGATAGTCTGTTAGCAACCACAGCTTGCCCTTTGGTCCAACTAATCCCATGATTAACATCCAAACACGAACACACAGACAATCTATCAAAATGGCCGAACTTCTATTAACCCTAACCCTTTCTTTTACTGGAGCTAGCTCTGAAGTCGCTTGGATGCGCATTAATTATTCAGAAGTTTAGGCATTTAGTACACTTAAACAGAAGAGTAACAAAAAACCCACCCCCTCAGAGTTGTCAGAGTGTAAACTAGATCTATTCAACCAGTAATATGTCTTTGTGACCAGGGTGTAAACGTGTATTTCTGCTGTGAAATTTAAATGTTTAACATGGGATCTGCTCACTTCTGACACCAGCCCCTAGTGGATGAGGGTGGAACTGCTATTTTTGCCGCTTCCTTGTTTGCTTGGTATCCAGACCTGAATTATGGGGCCTTGGTTTGTCCTGAGGTCAGTCAGACCGTTGTCTGCTGCAGGTAGGACACTGACTGCTCGAGTGGAAACTACTCCACACAACTGTTGTGAAGTCACCTACTGCTTAAAGTATATTTATACTAAAATATATACCAGTATATTTATACTACAAAACCTTATCTGACAGCAGTTCGTTGGTAAAATGTCATGATAACATTTGAGTAAAAGGCCGTGAGTTGATGGAGAGGAATGTCAGGCTCTGGTCACATCTGAGCAGTGAGGTGGATAAGAGCTGATGTGGAGGCTGATAAAGGCCCTCCCTCACATTCCTGTAAGACTTTCATCAGATCAGAGAGAAGAATGTCTCATCAGGTCCGTCACACGTTCCCTGAACCAGCACCAGTTTGACGTGAGTCACTGGACATGTTGTGAAATAAAACTAAAACAGGAAGTTTGAAACAAGCGAGCAAAGTAATCAAAATCTGACATTAAAGTGATTTTTGTTCTTTAACCAAAGGATTCAGAAAAAAATGGGATTCTGGGTTTAATTATATTATTTATTAATAATTTAGGCTCTTTCAAAAGGTTAACGTGGACTCGTCTTTAAATACCTTAGCACAAAAAACGTCTTCAGATTCTCTAAAAAATATCAATAAATTACTTTTGTAATTTATTAGATTCAATCATGTAAAGGTGAAGTGTGTAAGAATAAAGTAAAGTTTCAACAGTGAAACAGTCCCAAAGTAGTCTAACAGGGTGTCTGCAGGTTTAAGGGAGCCACATTTAAGACTTTTTAAGACCTTTTTTAAGGCCATTTTGACCAAATTTAAGCTATTTTTCAAATTAAATTTAAGCTATAATTTCCAGCTATTGCCTAGAACCGGTGCTAACCACGCCGCGAACGTGGGATTAGCCATCCATTTACCATTAAACTTGCACTTCCCCACGGCGCAAGCTCCCACTAGCTTAACCAGCTAATGTGCTCATCTAAAAATAGCCCCCTTTCACAACCAACTGAATGTGTACGGTTCCGCTTACGGCAATGTCATGCACAAAAATTGCTGAAGACTAACTAGAAATTCACAAAAATTTTATAGAAATAAAAGAATCTTGTTTATTGGGTCTTTGGTCATTTAAGACATTTGGAAACTGTATTTAAGAATTATTTGTAATTTTTAAGGATTTTTAAGGCCTTACGTTTGGAAAAGCTAATTTCAGACTTAAGTACCCGTGGATGCTCTGTCTAATGTCTCCATCATGTTGTTAGGAAGGATCTACTGGGACAGATTTCATTCTCAGCCGGCTGAGGGCTTTTCAGTTGCTCCCCTTTCAACATAAAGGAAGAAGGGATGTAGCTATTGTTTACCCACCACAGATATGTATCTATGCTGTTTACCATCAGTGAGTGAGGTTGCCATGTCTCCTGCGAGCTAACGCTGCAGCGCTGACATTTTAACTGACCTACGTTTGGGAAAAAGCTCCAAAGCTGTGTAAAGACCCAAAGCCTGTAACTAGAACGAACCAAAGGTTATTCCTTGTACTCTTAAGAAGCCACGGCATCCTTTTGTTTTACTCTAATATCAAGTGAAGCAGGCTAATGTTGAGCTAACAATGCTAACAGTGAATTAGATGTAATTGGTCAGCTCTAAAATATCTCAAGCTACTTTTTCAATCACCAACAACAGTGGAATGTGTGTGTGACGTCAATAATGAATCAAACGTGGCATTTTACTTCCTTAAAATAGTCATTCAGAGAAATAATTGCAAGCTAACATCTAGCTACTAGCAGCCAGGTGGCTTATTACCGTAATAAGTGTAGTATGTGCTCCCTACCATAAAACACCAAATAGTGCTAACACCAGATATGACAATGTGTTTATCTGCTTATCAACTTACAGTGGATGAGTCGTTTTGCTGGTTTTCTAGAATCTTCTGGTGCTGGTCCGTAACTGGCAACAGCCACGGAACGGGAGAGGCAGCTTGCAGGAACCACGTTTGACCACAGGGTGTCATCTTACTCTGTTCTTACCGTCGATGGTTCTTACCAAGCCCCCACAACCGGAAGTACCAAATTGCAGTTCCACCCTCATCCACTAGGGGCTGGTGTCAGAAGCGAGCAAATCCTCATTAGCCACGTTTACATGCGCATATTTAATCGGATTGAATGCCCATTCAGATTGAAAATTCTGCATGTAAACATGTCAATCAGAATATTCTGATCCGATTCGGCCCGATCGGATTGAAATTTCAATCCGATTGAGAGAGGTGGTTTATTCCGTTCTTCATTCCGATTGACGTGCATGTGCACAGCCATTCGGATTGTTGGGGTAAAACAATGCCCACTGCGCATGTGTGCAACAGCCAGCGGGCCTCTCCGCTGTCATTTGGACTGCCTGACTTCAAAAATGACGGTGTAATTAACAAGCGGCGGCTTTTAAATCCGACAACAAGCCGTCCCGTTTCAGTAATATTTAATTCAGAACTTGCATTTTGTGGAAGTAAAATAAAAATCTGATTATTGCACAAATCATTCGACAAAGATGTTCAAATCTTTACTGGAAATACGCAGGTTTATCGTGGGGGTTGCAGCGCACGGATCCCCGTTTCTGTCAGCTTTGAACACAGCAGCTTCTGCAGCAGGTGATGGAGACACGCTTGTAAAGATCACAGGATAATCTGGGTTTTACAGACCTGATTGGAGGCTGATGTTGGGTAGGAAAACGTCATCGGTTAAATACTCTGGACGACAGTAAAGTCCGTGTTCGTTAAAAGCACGTAAACGCAGATGACCTGAGATGCGGTTCGTTAATGATAAACACAGGCTTCTAAACTTTCTGAACATCTTCTGTTATTTTGTTTGAACAGATTTTTCTCAACAGTTTCAGCTGATCGTCACATGTTATTAATAATAAGCCACAACAGAGCTCAGTAATAAAACATGAGGCTAACCCCCCCACCCCCACCCCCGCTCTGTGCCGCAGCGCAGCGCAACAGCTGTCAATTCAGACCTGCGGACCAGCTGATCAAGAGGCAGACATAACCCTCCCTTATTTTAATCAACAATAAAATGCAGCAAAGCATATATCTGCAGTTATTCACTGAAGAAAACGTAACTTCTATGAGCTAAATAAAAATATTAAATTGAATAAATGGATCAGGAAAGCAGGAAGAATAGTTATTTCTGTTTTTTCATTTTTCTTTTCGTTTCATGGCGTTTGTTTACAATTTTTCTTTCGTGAAAGGCAACTCTGCGCATGCTCAACCTATTTAATCGGATTAAATGCTTGGTGCATATGTACGCACGGCATGATCGGATCATTTCAGTTCGTGTCCATGTGAACAGAGATTCGGAAATTCCGATCAACCAAGATTTCAATCGGATTGAGGAAATTAGGCACATGAAAACGCAGCTATTGACTCCCATGTTAAAAATACCAATTTCACAGCAGAAATAAACATGTTTACAGCCTGGTACCAAAACATGTTTTTGGTTTAAATGATCTAGTTTACACTCATGACAACTCTGAGGGGGGTGAATGTTTTTCTCACTCTTCTGTTTAAGTGTATTAAAAGCCTAAAATTCTGAATAATTAATGAGCATCAGACCCACGCACACTTTTAACTGACACTCATACACAAGTGATGCATTCAAGCCTGAAAAATTAATCATTACATATTTTTAAAAACTACTACTGTTAATATAGCAGCTCTATAATAATATGTTTATTTTTCTGTAATTCTATGATAGAAATAATTAAATGAACCCCTCTCCACCTGTAGCTCCTCCACTAGAAGGCAGCAGACATGTATAGGACTGGATATAGCAGGTTTCTGACGAAGGTACTAATCCTGATGCTCCATCTGGAGGCTTTAAGGTCTCAAGCGGTTTGATGATAGCTTACTGATTTTATTGTAATTTAAACAGAGCAAAATATACCATCTACATCCAGAAATGAAAGAAAAATTGATGCTTTTTATGTATAATTAAGCTTTTCATGATCAGCTTATTAATCAGGTGTCGCAGGGGGAATTTGTGCTACTTTCGAGAGTCCAGCTGCTCTGAAGTCTGCAGATGAGCTTTCATACAAAGCCAGACCTTCACGGACTGGGATTTCTCTGAATTCCCAGAATCTTTTTGTTTATTTTTCGATGAACTTTGGCTGACCCAGTTTTTTCCCCGATTTAACTGCTCCTCTGGCCTTGCAGTGTTAACCAGCTCTGAGGGGCTCACCTGTTACCGATTAACTGACTGTTGGATGGGTTGCAACACACAGCTGCAAATAAACTTTATTTACCATTACAAACTGGAAATGCATTATGGGAAAGTGCCGTAAATCATAGAATCCTAAAAACTCATGATCATTTTCAGGATATTTTAATCAAAAAGTGAAAAATGAAAGGGCCTGGCATTAAACCCAGACTTTCCTGTCTAGTGTTAAGATAATTTTATTTTAATTTATAATGGATTTATAGATGTTTTTGAGGAGGATCTTGTAATGAATGTGATTCAGTCTGTTGGATCTCCGAGTTTTTGTTCTCCATATTTACTAACCTGACCGTGTGTGTTTGCTGAGCACCTTCAGGTCAAGCTGTGGTTGCTACCGCCACCTAGTGGACAGAACGTGACGCACAAGCTGCAGGTACACAACAAAAATAAGTCTTTTTTACAACATGGTCCCAAAACTAAAAAGGTTTAGTTATTCAAAAAAATGTTGTAAATCTGAGTCGCTGTTTGATTTTTGTAAAGATATTTTAGTGAATTTTCTTCAAATCAAATATTTTTACTGAATAATTTGAAGAATTCCTTCAACTTTAGTTTGTTCTGTGCTCAGATCCGTTTCTCCCGGTTGGAGAGTCAAATTACCAGTCTGTGGTTTGCTCAATAATTCTTAGAAACTGGAGTTTCAACTTCTGGGAAGCAAACCTGCATGGGATTTGTTCCCAAGCAGGGCGTTCCCTCCCTGTTGACACTTGCTTTGTGCCAGCCGCCGCCGCAGGACGAGGAGCTGCAAACTCATGGCTGCGGATCAGCGGATTCACGAGAAGACAAAAGTCAAAGTTCATGAAAGTTTTCTTTAATGATTTTCACATTAATATAAACAATAATTTATGCAAAAGAGAAGTTGGAGGAAAGCAGTGAGAAAAATCTAAATAACATTCCTAATCCTCCCTTTTCTAAGATTTGTGCAAAGATCAGAGCAGATGGAGCGACGCACGGCCTCGTCTCACCCACACGTTCTGATTTAAGGACATCTTTTTATTTTGCTGGTTATTTGGCACAAACACACACAGGAAGCGCAGTCATGCGTTTTCTACACCCATCGCTCCTGCGTCGCTGGCTGGCGTGTAGAAGTACGCGGCGTTGTCCTCCTCGTAGATGATGGCAACAGTCTCACCAGCATCTGGAGCAGCTGTACTGGTCTGTATGTACGCCTGAGGGGAGGGAAGACAGGAAGTGAGGAACGGAAACTTCACACCACAGGACCGTATGATGCTAGAGCCTCGTACCCTCTCCAGCAGCTGCAGGCGCTCCTCGTTCAGCAGGTTGCTCTGGCGCAGCTGGCTCACCGTGTTCTCCAGCCCCAGAAGCTTCTCCAGGTGCCGGCGGTGTCGCTGCTGCAGAACCTTCACCTTCTTCTGCAGGCCGGCTACGATCGCCTCCAGCTGCTCCTTACTCAGACTGTTCTTATGGTAGCTGAACAAAACCAGATGAGAACATCTAAAAGGTTCCACGTGGATGGTTCTGAGCTAGGGGTGGGCATCGCTTGGATTTGAACAATTCCGATTCAGGGTCCGAGCAATTCTCGAATCAGTTTTTCAAGGGGCGGAGTCTAAAAACCTACACGTGTAAAATGATGCAGCTAACCGCGGGTCTTGGCCTGAACTTTTTAAGTGAGTGGAGCCACACTTTAGAACACCTCTGCACATTTTCCATGATTGCACGCTAACGCAAACACTAGCGGCAAACTCTTCTTCGTTGGTATTCAGTGGCTTCTTCTTCTGGTTGGCAGACCAGGTATTTAAACTAGAAATCAGAATGAAAACGTTTCAGCGAGTCTGGTAGAAACTGGACACGTTCTCCAGTTCCAGTGACCGGTCGATGCCCAGCCCTACTGCTAACATCTAGGAGATGAAACCAAGAATCTCACCGGTGCTCCTCCAACTGCTGGTCCTGCTGCTCGTTGTCCTCCACCTCCGACGTGCCTTCGCCCCCCTCCTCCTCATCCTCCCCCTCCGTGTCCAGCCTCTCCAGGGTGAGGACCAGCGATGAGGGTGGGATGTGCTTGGAGACGATGGGCAGAGTGGAGGATATGGGCTTGGAGCTCAGAGCTGGTGACAGCACCGTGTCCGGGGAGAAGGCCAGCTGGGATGAGGTTTCGCTGGGAAAAACGTCTGGCATCGTCTCAAAGTAAGCAATGACCTCTTGACCTTCGTGGACTTGTGAGAGGTCTTCAGCGGAGCAGGAGACATCTTGGATGGACTCCTTCAGAACCAGCGTGCTGCCCTGGTTTAAAATGGCGTGGACAAGCTCGTCATCCTGATCTCCAGCAGGACATTCAGACATTACCACCACCTCCACGCTCTCCATGTTGTTACTTGGATCATCTGTCTGGTAGGAAGGTTGCAGTGAGTCCAGGTCCGTCTGGACGGAACAGTCCGGTTCTCCCAGGCCACTCGGCTCCAGTAAACCCATTTCTGCTTGTTGGTCGACTGCAAACTCATACAGGTGAACCGTGTGCAACGCGCCTTGGATCTCTACGGGTTTGAAGGTCACGGTCCCGTCACTGGGATCGGAAAAGTTCTGATTCCTGTGATCTCTGAGGCGCTTTGGCTTCCTCTCGCTGTGATCCGCGGCTTTCCGTTTCTAGAAAACACACCAGAGAGAATCTGAAATGTCGCAGAAGCAAAACGGAGGTGAGCTACGAGAGTCCTCCAGAATTTAAAACCACATTTACCTTTTTAGTAAACAAGGTGGAAAACGTCCAGATATCCGCCATCAAAATTGGTCCATAAAAAGCTGTCGGCTGACATTGATCTCTACATATCGGCATTAGTATCGGCGATGGAAATACCGATATCGGTCGACCTCTAGTTACAATGGTGCTGAGAAACAGTTCATTCAGAGAAAAGCTGATTTAACACGTCATACGCTCAGACACAAGCTCAAGTTAAGCAGGTTCTGAACCCACTTCAACGTCACCAATATTCAATTGTTTGGGGTAATGATAACCACAGGACAACGCTACTGCTAACGCTAGACCAAGCTAGTGCTAACGCTAGACCAAGCTAGTGCTAACGCTAGACCAGTGTTGGGAGTAACGCTGTTTAAGTATAACGGCGTTCTTTTTGAGGTAACGGAATAATTAATTACTTTTCCCGCCGTTGCAACGCCGTTACCGTTACTGGGGACGGAAGGTTGTGCGTTACTATGTGCTTGTCGAACGTTGAGCAACAGTGTGAGGCTTTCTGACCGCCACACTTCAGCTGCAGCCAGGGAGAGAGAGGTGTCGGTAACACACTTACAAACACGATGATGATTGGCCGGGTGGGCGGAGACCCTCACGGTCTCAGTCGCTGCTGCTGTAGACACAACAGAGCAGTGATGGGAATAACACCGTTTAAAATAACCGCGTTAAAAAAATATATTTCTTTCAGTAACGAGCAAACTAATTAATTACCGTCTTCTTTTATCAAAACGTCGTTTCTGTTACTGATAAGGAAATGCGTGCGTTAAGCAGCGCGGTGTGTTGAAGCTGTCATCAGCTGATCAGGAGCTAAAGAGGCAGATGTTTTCATCCAAGAGCCTCACGGCCGTGAAGAACGAGGAAGACGTGATGAATATCTACGGCTGCAGGTGTGGATCTGCAGCCGTGCCCTTCTTAGCGTGACAGCGGGACGTCCCGAAGGTCCGCTCACCTGTTCACCGCTCAGACGTCCTGATCTTCTACCTTCCTAGATCATCCAGCTGTAACCTGTTCCTGATCATGTCTTTAGTCCCGCTGTAACACTGATGCATCAGTCTCAGACGACATGGAGCTCAGGTGTTATCAGAACTACCTGTGTGTGTTTACCACCCAGCTTCAGCTCTTCTGTGGTTGGGTCTGACCCACGTTAGTAAATGTAAGTCCTCCATCAGGCTCGTGCCTCTTCTAGTGTCATTTTAAAGGTTTTATTTATTTATTTATTTAACCGTTACTAGATTAGCAGCAACAGAAATGCTGCTAAAACACACAATTATGTGAAGCTGGAAAAATTTGAATGCTGTGCAAAATTACATTCATTTCTGTAATTTAACTAGACTGAGAGACCATTTAAAGGCTCAGGAACCTTTACAGGTGTTTCTATTTGTAATTTTAAATGTTAGCTGATTTGGTTCTTGTTAAATATCACACAATGACCTTTTAATAGTCTAGATAAGTGTAATGTTCCTGTTAGTAGTTCCTCCTGTTAAGTGCTTATTTATTTAAATTATTCAGGTTTATAAAAAACATTTTACTATGTTCCAGTCATTTATATTTCACTATTGTAGTCATTCTTGCATGCTTTAATGAAAAAAGTAACTAAGTAGTTATTTTTCTTGGTAATTAGTTACTTTTATGATCTCGTAACTCAGTTAGTAACTGAGACACGATGCAACCCCCCCCCCCCCCCCCAAAATATGCTATTGTAAAAGAATGTTCTAGAATGCCTTTAAGGCTTAAGCTACAAATCCAGATTAAAGGGGTCAAACATGGCCACTGGCACTATAAAGGGTCAATAATTCAAATCAGAAATCGGTTTTTATGTAAATCAAACCTTTCTGTGTTTTATGGGAAACGGCAGCAACAGAATTATTAGCGTAGCTCTAAATTCAGACTGTTTACGTCTTATTGTTGTCTCACCTGGCTCTCTTGGAAAACTGTGGGAACAGCATCACTCTCCAGGTATCGGATCCCCCAGCGGACCCTGAAGCATGACGGTGAGAAGTGCTCGTGGCAGATGTACTGGTGTCGAGACGGGGTCCAGTTCTCCCGTCCCATGTTCCTGAGCCACTGCTGGAGCCGGACCGGGTCCTGCAGCGGGAACCTGAAACACAGACGTGATGAACGGGTCACATGTCCTGGAGTTCAGACCACGAAAACTCGCCTCCATCAGACCGAAGCATCAGATGAGATCAGGTGACGAACTCAGACGCCGTCCACTCATCGCGTTTCCATCTGAGCGTCACTTTCTATAAATGGTAATAGGAAACAGGTGTTCAGGGGTGTGTGCAGCTTGATGCTTTACCTGTAAATGCTGACGTTTTAGCAAGAACGAAGATGACATAACTTGGACTAAATACTAGGAAAAGTTATTTTGAACTTTGGTAGAAAAACAGAAAACTGTTTATTTTTTAAATCTGTTTATTTTCACATGTTTTCATCTTAAAATGTTTAAAATTGAATCTCTTAATTAATTCTCCTTCCCAAGGCTCTCTGTCCTGTCTGCCTGTGGACGGCACTTCTGCATTTTTTTCTGGAAACTGGAGATTATTAAAATGGACCTGGTCAGTTGGTCTCTCAACGCGACTGACAACATTTTTTCCACGATGAGAACGGGAGAAGGGGCTCCCGGATGCCCCTCTGGGACAGAGCCAGCTGGGTACATCATGGACTCCTGGAATCAGTGGAACCTGATCTGCCTCTCAGCTGTCAGTAGAGGATTCTGAAGACGTCTGGATATTCGTCGTTTTGGTGTTGGAATTCCTGCTGTTTGGCCTGAGCGGTTACCTGGACTTTTACACGTTGGACCGCGCATGGGACTGCATTGTCGGGAGAGGGGAGAGCGGGCAGCAGAGGGCGAAAACGTCCTCTGCTGCCCGCGTATAAACGCAGAAGGAAGTGACGCCACCATCAGCGTCAGCCTGAGGAAGTTTGCAGCCGCAGACGAAACGTAGCGACAAAACAGGTAACAAAACTGTTTCTGTGTTTTAAAAAAGAACTACAGCATGGAGTTAGAGATACGACACAGCAAGAACACACCTAAGATGTTCAAAGGTTACTTGACTTACTGGAAAATTAACGAGATTTCGAGGAATATTGGCTCAATCCCGGAGCTCAGGGATGGATTACACCGCGCTGTGAACACACAAACTCATATAATTGTCGAGGTGAGTCGTAAGCTTGGAACTTTGGCTGAGATTCAGGCTCTGGCACAGAAGGTGGATTCCATCAAGGAGCGAGTTGACGGATCAGCACGGATTGGGATAGATTAATTACGCCATTATTGGATCTCGAGGGGTTGGAGACCAACAGAACACTAAGGCAGAGAGGAAATTATCTCTGTCCCCAAAACAATTCTTATCTGAATCTGGTGCCCTTGAGCCTGTGAGGCTGAAATGTAAACTCCCCCCTCAGAAGAAATGTGGAATGCTGCCGTCGCTATGGAAACCCTTTCTCCCTATCCCAGCCTGGGCAGGACTGCGACCGGTGAAGGCCGTGGAACCGTATCCCTCCCCTGTCCAAACGGAGGTGATAAGCACTGCTCCATGCGGCTGCATGCACTGAAGTGAGGAGAGTCCCAACCCTACCTCCCCACCTAGTGGACACTTATGTTGTGTAATGTCTGAAGTCTGTTGCATTTCTGTCTGAGGTGTTTTATTTGCATAGCACAGCTGCCCTCCCTGTGGACGATAACTCTGAAGTGCCGTTTTTCCCTCCACCTTGACTCTATCCTCATATGAACCCTCTTGATCTATTACGGTAGCGCGACTCGTGTCGCGAATGACCACAGTCACCGATTCTTGTCGTGTGTCTATGTAGGTATGTCTGATCTCAGAAGTGTGTGTACTGAACCTCTAATTTCCCTCTGGGATTAATAAAGTATCTTTGAACTGAATTAAAGTTTCTGTCTCGATGTTGGTTGAAGTTTTCTGATCTTAAGCGTCATCTTAGTGTTTCTGACCTGAAGTTTATTACGTGTTTATTGACCACCAGATTTCTGATGTTAGTTTGTCTGAAAGCTTTCTAATCTTAACGTTTACATTTAAAGGATTTAAATCCTTAAACGAGCAACGTTTAGTTGTTTGTTCTTGATAATTTTAAAGTTTTGTTTTCATCTCAAACATGTGATTGATGAGTTTTTATTGAGTTACACGTTTATAAGAATTTATTGGACCATCACATTTTAACGCCTCGTGTTTCTGTAATGGCAAACAAAAACGTTCCTTTAATGTTTGGATTCAGCTTCTTGTGACATCTTCAGGATCATTTTCATCTTTTGTTTCAGTTCGTGTGTTCGTTATTAAACAGACGAGTCCTTCTCTCGTTAAGTTCATGATGTTCTTTTATGTTTCTGATCTCAGAATTGTGTGTACTGAAACTCTAATTTCCCTCTGGGATCAATAAAGTATCTTTGAATTGAGCTGATTGTAAATTCTGACTTATCAGTAATCTGACATTTTAGACCATATCTCAGAGTTTCCTTTAGCTGATAATCCCAGTTTCACACATCTGTTGGATTATATCCGCTTTGGTGCCATTCTCTTCTTTTGCTCTTGCTTTAGGGGTAAATCCTGTTTAAATGAGTCCGTTTCGCGTAAACATGAACCTTTTCACGTGAGAACGATTCACACTAATGGCGATAAACTCCACCTGAGCACAGGTGGGTGCAGGTTTCTACCGGCGAGCTCTCCGGATCTAGACCTGCTCACACGCGTCCGCGGCCACGCCGCCGCCGCGTCCCTTACTTGTAAAAGCTCCTCCCGTCGCTGCCGTCGCTCCTGCAGTTCGGGACCGAGCAGTACTTCGGCATCTCTGGTCCGGTTCGGCCGCCCCTAACCCGCCGGGTTCATCACAAGGTGAAACCCAAGTCCTCCTAGCGATTACTCTGCTCCAACTCCTGCGTGTTGTCAGATGCTGGCGCGTAGTGACGAAACCCATCAGCTGCTGACACGCGTGACGTCAAATGCGCGCGACTGCTGCATGTGTGAGGACCATCGACGGTGAGGACCCGCGCGTTTTAGCCAACGAGTGCGGAGTTGCGTTGTCACCATAGACATAGAAGTAAAGACAACTGTCACAAGTAGCTTTGCATTGCGCATGCGTACAGCACAGCAATGTCATATATATGGTAGACGTCCAATTGAGAGCTGGAGATCGTAGCCGCCATATTGGATGGGTCCCTCCCTCTGCAAACCTAACTAGCCACCGCACCACCGATGTCCGTTTTCTTTGCAGCCTGGAACTGGAAACCGATCATGTGGAATTCTTCTAGCCTACCTGTTGGGAATTTATATTTTAATATGTGTATACGTTAACTGCCATGCCACATATCTGATTTAGAGAAAAAGCGTAATAATTATTTTTTGGGGGGTGGAAACATCCCTCAGCACCGCGAGTAACAGGGAACCCATCCAAGATGGCAGCCAGAGGCACCTCCGGCCTCTGGATGAGCAGAGAAATATGACTGGATGGATGGAAGTTACCGTGATAAAACCCATGAAAATACCACATTGTAATTAACTCGTTTTAAAGAATTTGAAGCACCTTTAAGGACCCAGGGAATGGTTTTACAAGTTGGATATTGGGATGTGTTCAGAGACGTGAAGCATACAGGCAAACTGAACTGCTGTAATGCAGAGTAAGATCAGTGAGCAGACGCTCTCTCAGCATCAGCATCTACTGCTGTACCTCACTCCTTCTGTTGGCAGCAGATTTCAGAACAGAAAACAAAATGTAGTGATTTAAAAATAACAGCAAAACAATCAAAAACCTGCTTGTTTCTAAAATCACTGACCTGATTTTTTATTCAATCGTTTTTTCCAAACAATACACACTCTTTAAATGATACAGTATATATACATACACACGTGTGTATTTACTCATCTAAAAAGTCGAGGGCCGTTGAACAATGCAGCTGTGCGTTTCAAGACAGGACTGTGTGACGGAGGAGTTCACAGAGGGGGGGCAGGTGTGGGTCTGTGTTGAAGACTCGAGTGCCATCAGTGCTCGCTAGCGGGTTCGAAGGGCTGGACTGTGCAGGAGCCGCCGAGTGGGCGGCACGGCGATGAGACGGGATGGAAACATGGAGCGACGGTACCTTCCCCAGCAGGAAGCATGGCAGCAGGACAAACCCAACGCTACCAGCAGAAACACATCACTAATGGCAAACAGCACCTTTACGAATTCACCCAGAGCACCTCTTGTTCCACATTTCTTCAGATTTGTTATGATAAGTTAGCTGGCATGGTGCAGGTCGGAAACACGGACGAACAGGCGGCGCCTTAATCCAGTTTACTGTGTAACTTGCTAAAATTGAACAATCGTTGATTTTTTACGGATCTTTGGTACAAACCTGCTATTTGAAGTCATCTGCTGAGCAAATCAAATAAAAAAAGGCTCAAGCAGCTGAAAGGAGGCGGGTCTAAAACTCAGTGATGGCACACGCGAGCAGGCAGATGAACGGGTGAGGGTCCTCCCATCAGAACTACATCAGCGAGACAACGTCGGTCTGGGGGAGGAATCCCGTCGGCTAAGGACGAACGAGGGTGCGTCCGAGCACCGGTGGGACCAACATGGTGTGGATGGTTGTGGATCATCGCCTCTACATCATCCCCAGCTGCATTAGCGTGTTGGCGTATGCCATGGGCTTGACATCCGGATGAGGCTGTGAGAGAAAAGGAGACATATTAGAAACAGTTGCAGGGATCCCCCCCCGACCTTACGGCCAACTAAACGGTCAGTTACGCTGGTGGTGGTGAGTTCTCCAACAACTTTATGTTTTACCGTTGGAAACCGTTCCTGAACAAAAACAGCTGAGGTACTGACCACAGCAGTGAACTGGTGGAACTCTGGCTTGAGGTCGGATCCCCTGAGATGGATGTAAGCTCCTTTGTTTCCCATCTGATCACTGGAGGAAAACAGGAAGCATACGGGTGAAGCGAGCTGCCTAAAGACGGGATTTAAGAGCCACAACGTCCATCACAGGGCTAGTAACCATGGTAACGTACCAGTAGTTGGGTGCTGAGAACACGGTGATGCACTTCCCTGAGTGGGTGACCTCGTAGCCCTCAGCTTTGACTTCATGACTTCTGACGATGTAGTCCAGCTTGTTCTGCTCCAGGAAGCGCTCCGTCACGTCAGGTCCGAACTGGCAGCTCACTCCTCTCTTGCTGATTGAGCGGCCGTTCTACTCCAGACGGGAAAACAGAATGATTGTGACTATTTACGACAGAACAGGTGGTTCCCACTTGGTCGTGGGCGGGAACTGACCTGAGGCTGTGGGTCTGACCAGAGCAGGTCACACATGGGACCTGAAACACACAGCAGAACAGGTGTGACATGAAGCTCCTCCTCCTCTGTGTAAGTGAACTGAATAACCCCGATGCAGTCTGACCCGAGTCCGGAGGTTGTCTGTTCCGATCGATCTTCCTGAGGTCGTCTAAGGTGACGCCGTCTTCACTGAAAAGCCCCCCGTGCATAACCTGAGACCAACGATCACATTAGTTCAACACCAAACCACGTCAAGTCCAGCATTTTCCACTAATGTGGTCAAACAGGGAGCCCGAGACTCCTCCCCCTCCTTGCCTCACGTCCTGAATCACACATGTTGTAATTATGTGAGTTTTGACCACGCCCATCACATAATTTAAGCTTTATTAGCTTGTAAAACAAGACTACAGATCAGACGTGTCATTTGTGACATCACAGCAGAGCCTCTCCTCCCCGGCGTGGCTGCTACTGACCACACAACCAGATTTATGGTGGTTTTCTCCACCTTTAACCCTTTCTGTCATCCTGGAAGAAGAATTCAAAGCTGGAAAACAAAACTCCTCCTCCTCCATGTCTGGTCTGACGACGTGGATTCGGTGAGATGAGCGTCAGTAGTCCTCTACGTCTCCTCACACCAAACCTAAAACAACATTTGCCACCTGTATAAAATAAGCTACGTTAAATCCACGGCACGCAGCAAACAGAAATGAACGTATCAGCTCGTAGACTCGTTCATCTCTATGGCAGTACGGGACCCGTGGTCCGGATGGAGATGGGCGTGGCTTAGCCTGTCTATGATGTAAAGAAAAGTCTCACTTTTTACCTGTTTAGGACTTTAAAGGTTTTAAGTTGAAGAGAAAACCTCCTTCAGTGTGTGGAGGTGAAGCGTTATTAAGCGGACTAAAACGTTGTAACACATGAACGTATGAATGCGAGGAAGCCTGAAGCAGGGCGAGCAGCTGCTGACGTGTAGCAGAAGGATGCTGCTCTTCAGGCCACACACAGGATGCTCTCCTGGCTACAGAACGGGATCATCTGCTCTCAAAACAAGACGTGATGTATTACGAACTTCTTAACAGCATGAAGGGAAAACATTTATGCTTTAGATCCCGTTTTAAATTAATCATCGGCCAGTTTTCGGGCAGCAGCTCCTGCAGAGACACCCAAACGGTCCTCCAGAGCTACACCCACACAGGCTCAAGCGTGACGCTGCGCCACGGCTACGACCCCCCCGCGCTCTAACGGGAGACGCGCGGAAGCAAAACTTTTTTTTATATGTGTGTGTGTGCTAGTTGTGTTGAATGTGGGCTCAGAGTTACAGGTCACTTCAGGTTGTACTGGTATAACTGAGCATCGTGTTCTTCCGCCTATCCGAGTCGCGGGGGCAGCATCCCAACGAGGGAGATCCAGACCGTCCTCTTCCCTCCCACCTCCAGCAGCTCCTCCGGTGGGACCCCGAGGCGTTCCTGGACCAGCTCGGAGATGTGCTTTCTCCAACGTGTCCTGGGTGGACCAGGGGGCCTCCTGCCGGCAGGACATGCCTGAAACACCTCCCTGGGGAGGAGTCCTAACAAGATGCCCAAACCACCTGACCTGACTCCTCTCTATATGGAGGAGCAGCGGCTCTACTCTGAGTCTCTCCCGAATGTCCGAGCTCCTCACCCGCTCTCTAAGGCTGAGCCCGGCCACGCCGCGGAAGAAACTCATTTCGGCCGCTTGCATCCGCCATCTTGTTCTTTCGGTCATTACCCAGAGCTCGTGACCATAGGTGAGGACTGGGCGGTAGATCGACCGGTAAATGAGAGCCTGGCTTTCCGGCTTAGCTCCCTCTTCACCACGACAGACCGGTTCAGCGTCCGAATCACTGCAGATGCTGCCGCAATCCTCCCTCCTACCCTCACTCGTGAACAAGACCTCGAGATACCTGAACTCCTCCACTTGAGGTAGGACCTCTCTCCCGACCCGGAGTTTTCAAGCCACCCTTTTCCGGTTGAGAACCATGGTCTCAGATTTGGAGGTGCTGATCCTCATGCCAGTCGCTTCACACTCGGCCACAAACCTCCCCAGCAAGAGCTGAAGGTCAGAGCCTGATGAAGCTAGGAGGACCACATCATCCACATAAAGCACGGCTGCCACCAAACTCCACACCCCCAGCACCACGGCTTCTCCTAGAAATCGTTATGAACGGACCGGTCCTGTATAACCGAGCATGTGACAAGAACCTGTCTTCTGGAGAACCCTGAGAAACTCGGGTTTCTGTTTCAGCGGCCAGCTCTCCACTGGGACCGGTACAACGCACAGACCTCCCAGGCTTGAGGCTTAGCTGAACCTTACCAGTACTTTGTTGTTGATGCACTGAGCCAGGGGAAGCCACTGGAACACCTCGCTGAACAGCTGGAACATCTGGGCCGTGTACTTGGCTTTGACCTCCCCCTCAAATCCGTACATCTGGTTCATGTTGTCCGTCTCGTGGTTCCCTACAGGAGATTAAAAACGCACGCTCACACTTTAGATGGACGGAGTCTGCGACTCAACGTGCCGCCGCCGGAGTGTTCTCACCTCGGAGCAAATGGAAGTTGTCGGGGTAAAGCAGCTTGAAGCCGAAGAGGGTGAGGATGACCTCGACAGAGAAAGAACCGCGGTCCACAAAGTCACCGTTGAAGAGCTGAAAGTTGGGGTTAAGAACAAAAACACCAGAGCTGCGGGTTTAAACCCCAACAGGAAACGAGCAGAGGAAAGGATACGTAGGGGTTTGTCTCGGAGGGTAAGCCGTTCAGCTCAAAGATGTTGAGGAGGTCGTAGAACTGCCCGTGGGTGTCGCCACAAACCGTTATTTTTTCTGTCTGTGGGGATAAAAAACAGGGCGGCTTAAACTGGTTCTGAACAGTAAAAGAACATTAAAAATCATAAAATGTTGTTCCTTCTGAACTTCAGTTAGCCGACCTTCCGCCCAGGGGGTCTGCAGGTTTAAGGGAGCCACATTTAAGACTTTTTAAGACCTTTTTTAAGGCCACTTTGACCAAATTTAAGCTATTTTTTAAATTAAATTTAAGCTTTAATTTCCAGCTATTGCCTAGAACCGGTGCTAACCACGTCGCTAACGTGGGATTAGCCATCCAGTTACCATTAAACTTGCACTTCCCCATGGCGTAAGCTCCCGCTAGCTTAACCAGCTAATGTGCTCATCTAAAAATGAGCCTTTTTTACGGCCACTTTGACCAAATTTAAGCTATTTTTTAAATTAAATTTAAGCTATAATTTCCAGCTATTACCTGGAACCGGTGCTAACCACGTCGCTAACGTGGGATTAGCCATCCAGTTAGCATTAAACTTGCACTTCCCCATGGCGCGAGCTCCCGCTAGCTTAACCAGCTAATGTGCTCACCTAAAAATGAGCCTTTTTTAAGGCCACTTTGACCAAATTTAAGCTATTTTTTAAATTAAATTTAAGCTATAATTTCCAGCTATTACCTGGAACCGGTGCTAACCTCGTCGCTAACGTGGGATTAGCCATCCAGTTAGCATTAAACTTGCACTTCCCCATGGCGCGAGCTCCCGCTAGCTTAACCAGCTAATGTGCTCACCTAAAAATGAGCCTTTTTTAAGGCCACTTTGACCAAATTTAAGCTATTTTTTTTAATTAAATTTAAGCTATAATTTCCAGCTATTACCTGGAACCGGTGCTAACCACGTCGCTAACGTGGGATTAGCCATCAATTTACCATTAAACTTGCACTTCCCCATGGCGCAAGCTCCCGCTAGCTTAACCAGCTAATGTGCTCATCTAAAAATGGCCCCCTTTCACAACCAACTGAACGTGTACGGTTCCGCTTACGCCAACATCGCACACAAAAAATGCTGAAGGCTAACTAGAAATTCACGAAATTTTTATAGAAATAAAAGAATCTTTTTTAAAAACACAGAAACGTAGCGGGAAAAGAGGTAAACAAAAACTGCTCTGTGTTTTAAAAAAGAACTACAGCATGGAATTAGAGATACGACACAGCAAGAACACACCTAAGATGATAAAATAATCTTGTTTATTGGGTTTTTGGTCATTTAAGACCTTTGGAAACTGTATTTAAGCTAATTTAAGACTTTTAAAAGGACCCGCGGGTATCCTGAACAACGCTCTTACCTCTTTCAGCGTGATTTCAACGAGACTCTGTAGCTTTGAAAGGACGTCTTTAACTTGAACTAAAATCTGAGCAGAAAACAAAAATAAAAATCAGCAGCAGGCATGGAGAAGCGTGGAGAACGACATGAGCAAACCCGATTACCTGGTAAGCACACTTTCTGTGCAGCTTCTTCTGGTCTTTGAACCAATCCATCAGATCCTTCATGAACTGCACCGTGACCTTTCCATCCTCCAGTTTGGGGCCAACATAGTCGTCTTCGATTGCTGCAAATTAAATTTGGTTAACTGTGGTTTTCTCATAAGACACAAGCAGGTTTTACGTTATAGCTCCAGTGCTGAATAAACCTACTCATGCTTTCTATGTCCAGGGAGTCAACCACAGACTTCTTCTTCTCATCACTGGCGATGGCTCTCTCGAAGGCTTTCTGCTTCACAATCTTATTGCATTCCTGATACTTCATCCTTGCATCCTTGTCGTTTGGTCGGACCTTTACTACCTGTCATCAGGACAGGAAAAGGACACAGGTAAACCATCAGCTAGGATTTCTGTGAATGCCGTTAATAGAGTCATCTAGAGCCACTTTTGTTGCTCTAGTCAAACTTTTACCAAACCAGGTTCAGACGCAGATGTCTGACTTCTCACCGTTTCATAGTCCTTAAGCGCAGCTTTAAATTTGCCCAGAGCCATATTGGAGGTGGCGCGGCGGTAATACCCCTTTATGTAGTTTTTGTCCACCTCCAGGGCCTTCGTAGCGTCTGCGAGGGCGTAACCGTAGCACTCCGTGCGGAGGTACGCCAGGCTCCGGTTGCTGTAGTAGATGGCATTTTGTGGGTTGAGATCCAGAGCCTCTGTGTAGTACTTGATGGCATTTTCGTAGTCCTTATCTGAAAAGAAATATGACATCAGCGAACGAACAGTCGGTTTGGAATTTGGTAAAAAAAAAAAAAAGACTACGGCAAAAAAACTTCTATGAGGTATTTCAATTCAATATATATACACACACACACATAATATATATATTAGTATATATATATACATATACTAATATATATACACATACATATATATACATACATTATATGTAATACATATATATATGTAATACACACACACACACATAATATATATATATTAGTATATATATACATATACTAATATATATACACATACATATACTAATATTTATACACATATATATATATATATATATATATATATATATATACTAATATTTATACACATATATATATATATATATATATATATATATATATATGTAAATATGAAACAAATCACGTGCGTCTGAGTACTGTAATAACTTCCAAATTATTCAAAATTAACTTTGCAAAGCCTCTTGCAAAAATCTGATGTTGGACCACCCCAGAGAGATTAAAAGCAGCCTTTAACATAAATCACGTGATCAAGTCTTTCCGTTTGTAAATTATGAAGTTAGAAAATCGTGAACATAAAACTGGTCTTTCGCCAACATGAACTGTCAGACTAAAAGCTGGCTCATTCTAGGTGAACCGGTTAAAATGTGAACGTTTAGGAGGAGCCATGCTTCCACCGACTGCGTGTTGGGTGAAGTAGGAACAGCTCCGCAGGCTAACAGCAGATTCCAGGACCTGTGCGTTCATCCCGACCTACAGCTGGAGAACCAACCTGCGGCCACGGCCGGATTCAAGCTGGTGTCTAACGCACGACCTGTCCGGGCTCGTTAGCCTTTCAGAGACACTGAGTGTGAGCCACTGACAGCGTGTTTCTCCGCTAAAGTAGCATCGGAAGCTAGCCGCAGACGGAATGAATGGAGTTTACTGTTTTCATTAGCTTTGCGTGACATTTGAGACCGGCTCCGTTCACCGTAAACCGAGGGCAAATCCCGCTGCGGACTTTGCTGTACTGAGGAGGTTTGGTGTAAACGTCTAGAATAACCTACTGGCTTGACAACTTATGTGAATTACCTTTGAAGTACTTATTTGCCTTCTCCTTGAGTAGCTCTGCACCACTAGCCACCTCCGCCATCTTCTTCACACTGTCGTATTCCGACTGTCGCAAAGGTCGCAAAACCCTTTTGCTTTCTTCACGTTTATCCTCGTGACTCCAGAGTCGCAAAAAACAAACAGTGATAATTAAACAGTTAAATAGTGTGATGACATAATAAACAAACAAATAAATAAATCACTTACAGGTACAGTTTGACCGAAACACACACACACACACACACACACACACACACACACACACACACACACACACACACACACACACAC